CCCCCACCCCCACCCCCACCATAAAACTACCTCCCCACCATCATCACCACTACCACTACCACATTTACCGTCGCCACCCCACCACCACCACCACTATCCTACCACCATCACAACCACCATTAACGTCATTGCCCCCTATTATAATTATCATCGTCATTATTACTACCGCCACCCCCATCACCATCCCTACCGCAGTGCCCGACCACCACCATTTCCATTACCCCTACCATCACCGTCACTACCCAACTATCACCCCTACCACCACTACTTCTATTGCCACCACCACCCTCTCACAACCATCACCATTACCGTCGTTGCCACTATCACTTACAATCGTTATCATCACTCACTTTTTATTATAATCGGTGTTTAAATTTATTTTTCTCTTTTTATATTTGTGATTTAATTTTAGAAGTAAATACAAATATATTTATTGTTGATATTTTTTTATTACTCTGTGCCTTCAGGCACAGACGGGAACTAGTAATAAAATATAAGGAATTTTGAATCCTCGACTTATAAATTTGCTTGAACATTGCAAATTAATTGACAAAAGTTTGTTTTAATTTGACAAATAAAATTGACTCCAAAAAATATAATTTTTCACTCAATTTACTATTTAAAAATAAAGTTCATTGTTATTTGAGATGTCAATTTACTATTTAAATTTTTGTATTTAAATTCTTTAGCATATTATTTATAAAATTTATTCAAGGACTAATAGTTAATAAAATAGTAAAAGATTAGATTTGAAGTACAATACTAGACACTCTAGTGATGTTTATGCTATTATGGCAATGGAAAAAAACTGTTAAAAAACTCAATTTAAATTTAAATAAACTTAACTTATCAAAAGACCATCAAATTGTAAAAAAAAAATACCAAAATAAATACTTTTCAAGTTGATCAAAATAGTTTGAAATAATATACGAAATAAACAATAACATTTGACTTTATTAAACTTACATCTCTAAAAAAAATTAGGGCCCCAAAAAATAAAATTTGATTTGATTAAATATTGATCTAAAATTTTTTTATTTGGGACCTTAAAAATAAATATATAGTTAATTAAACTTGAATTTTAAAAATTTTAAAAATAATTAAAAATTAAGTAAATCTAAATTTAAAAAAAAATTGAGGCCCCAAAAATATAAGGCCCTAAGCGTCGGCTTCGATTGCCTAGCTTAAGGGCCAATCCTGGTGCCACTTCGACTCTTAGACTCAAATTTCATGTGCTTAAAAATATGATAAATTTTATTTAAATTACTTTATAGGAGGGAATAAAACTTAGGGATCAAGTTGATCATTTAATTTTGTTGCATAGTGTCATTAGACACAAGTCTATTGATAGTATAAATATAAGTAGTTAATAAAGATGATGGTAAATTTTTTATTTTTTATTTTTGACCAAAAGCAGGAACTATGAATTTCATTTAAGTAAAAAAATGTTGATTACAATCAGATGAAAGTAAAGTCGTAAGCTCGTGAGGGGAATAGCTGATCCAATTCGCTATAAGCAAATCCGACATCACTGCTGCTACCGCTCAATAAGCTGCACTCTTAAGAGCTCTTGGTTTGTGTAGGAACTTGAGATCCAAGTCTTTAGCAAAAATTCTAATGTCTTCCACAAATGCATTAATTTCCCATAGGGGAACTCCTTCATTAGAGCTAAGCTTGATCACTACCTGGCAGTCACTTTCAATTATGGTGTGCTTTAGGTGTAAATTGTTCGCGAGCAGATAGGTTTCTCTCACCGCTGGAGTTTCGGCATA